CATCGTCGCGATATTCAATGTGAAAAGTGAAAAACACTGGCACAAATTGTTGTTACTGTTTTCCTGTACTGAAAAAAGCGCGTTTCAGTTGCTTCGCTGCGTTGTTTGACGAAGGTCGCAGCGCTCCTTCTTCTCGAGAATCATCACCTACTCATCATGAGCGAGTGAACAGAAAGGAAGAAGAGCGTCGCCGTCGCGAAAAAGAGATGGAAAGAGCACGACAACGGGACAAAGATCGAATAAAACGACAACGGTTGTTTTACAGTAGTCAAGTTACTTATGACATGCCTATTTTCAATGTTTTTCACGCTTTTCATTAGTTAAGAACATGGTTTTCATCACTAAATATTTTGCCCTTTTTTTCGCCCTTTCAGAGAAGGGCGATGGTGGTCTCTTGCTTACAAATGCCGCATTTGGGACTCAAATGTGGCTTATATCCTTCCCATCTTATGCTGAAAGGCTGAAAAAGATTATTCCCTTCACATAGAAAGTTGTTAAAACTTTTTCGTCCTAGTTGATTCCTTTACGGCGAAACTATTGTTGATACTTGGATTGCATAAAGATGGGAAATCATATGAAAGATTGTGGAAGATGCATAAAAATACATGAAAACACCAAAATACGGGGCAAAATTTGAACAAAGTAGATAATTTGACTTGTTGGTTGGTAGAGTAATCGTAATGGGCTAAATATGTTCTACATCATGCGAGGCAAAAAGGTCGACGTAGTTTCACACGGCTAGCGCACAAAATTTGGCTTCGAGACGTATAGTCTCAGCGTTTAACACAATGTTGTGAAGGGCAAAGCGCTCTGTAACAAGTTATTTATTTATATTTTACTTACATTTTGCATCTGTAATTTGTTTCACTTTTCGCTCAGTAAATGTTCACGTTGGAGGGTTATAGAAATGAAGTGAAACAAAGCCCACACTTTATTTTTATTTGCTTAGAGAAAAGCTTTTCAAATTTTAAGAGTTGAAAGCGATGGTGTTCATTTTAGACGCGATCGTGAGACACGTCGTGATAAGGAGCGGTTCCATCGAGTGAGTCCAGATCGGAAGTTAACAGAGTCAAAAACCTATCGAAGAGATGACGAGGAGAAAGGAGAGTCGCGAGAAAAAGAGAGAAAGAGAGAGCATGGTGGAGAACGCAGAGTTTCTGACGACGCAGAGAAGAAAAGGACCGACGAAAAGGGTGAGAAAGAGCTATTGAAGAAGAAGAAAGAGCAGCAGCTTGAAGCAAAGCGACAATATGAGCATCAGCGTCGCGCTGAGGCCATGAGGAGAAAAGAGGACGAGGACAAGAAGAAGCGTCAGGAAAAGGAACGCTACGAAGAAAAGAAAAAAGAGGAGGAAAAGCGTCGAATGGAGGAGGAGAAGCTGCAAAGAAAGAAAGAGGAAAGAGAATGTAAGGACGAGGAGTTGAGAAAACTAGAAGAAAGCTTTAGGCAGATGACAAACTATGTTGATGATGGACATGAGACGGTGAAGAGTAGCGATGAGGTGGATGGGCAGAGTGTGAATTCCGCCGGTGACTCTTCCTCAAGCGATGTTCAGCACACATCAAGAAATCACAGCGATGACGAGGTTGTCAACAGACATGGTTTGCAGACGCAAGAGAATAGAGGGAGATTTAACAAGGTTGAAGTGACTTCATTGCGAAAGTCATCTTCGGGCGAAAAAGTAGCGGAACCATTGAATAGGTCATTACCAGGTTCACTGCAGAACGACAGGGATTTCGTCTCTATAGAGGATGAAGAACGCACACAAAAGCCTAAAGAGGAAGTCCGGACTAGTCGGTGTGTGACTGATAGCAAAAAGGTGTGCTCATATACTTATTTATGTTGCTTTAGGCAATCAGTCCTAAGTAAAAACCTAAAGCAGTCAATTCATGGTTTTATTTTATTTCTTCTTCTCTCATTTATCTCTCCAACATCATTTATTTGAAAGACGCTAACAATTCTCGGTTCAGTCGATCCCTACTTCTGCTACAGTTCGTCGTCGTGATGAGGTAAAGAAAATTATGGTGAAGCCCCTTGAGCCAGGAATGATGATGAGTGATACTGGTGTTCTCGACCGAATTAACAAAGAGATGGAAAGTCTCGCGCCGAGGTAGACTTTGTCTTTCTTTTAGATGATATCTTTGCTATTTCCTATATATTTACTTTATTCTCTTATTCTGTGTACATGTGTTTGCCAATGTTATATTGATAAGGAATCGGTGCGACTCTGTTCATTCACCAGAGGAATCTCCGTGCAGCACAAAAAGCGCGTTTTCTTTACGAGTAAGTTCATCTTGGAGGTGAAATCACAGAGCTGCACATTGGTATTTTGTCTACTCAGACCACTAAGATGGAAACCTCAGTCGACTACAGCCAAGTTCTTTTTTCGAATCCACCTGTGGTTAAGCGTACAGTCCCAATAACGGAAAAGAAGGTAGACGGTTTTAACCATTTCTGAAAAGATTATCGTAGAAGTACTACAGATTTGCTACAGTTCTGGCTATTGAATCAGCTTGTTTGAATCACTTTTAGAAAATATTTATTATATCCAGTGGTTTGTCAACAGGGAACCATAATCATCTGGTCTTCTCAAAAGCACATTCCTCCAGATGTAAGTTGGCTGTACTTTTCCGTATGTAAACAGACAAGTTACGCTTCGTAGTTTTGCACTATAATTTGTGCCTTTTAGTAGGTATGTTTCTCGAGAAGGTGAGCGATAAACACAAAAGGTTTATGGAGCGCGAAAGCGATCGGGCATTTGCATCACCAGCATACGAGGTTTGATTGAAACTCTTAGTGAAACTTCCAGTTTTTATTTGTTTATGTTTCGATGTGATGTGTTTTATGTCTTTATTTGTTTATTGGGCGCGTGTGGTGCAGTGGTCGGAGGCGCCCTGCAGCATGCATGGGATCGATCCCCGCGTCCAAGGCCTACGAAGCCTTCCATTCCTCCAGGCTCCGCAAATTGGTACCAGACTTGTCTGGGAGGATAACAGCACTGGCTCGATACATCGGTAGGCCATCGCGAGTCATTGTAAAGGCCAGATATTCATTCAATAACCTCCAACGATACTTAATGAAGTCGAATTCATGGCGCATCCCTAAGAAATTGATCAACGCTAAGAACTTAATCTTTTTTTATTTATGTTTCGATGAAGTTGTATACGAGTGACTCCCACATCCATACGGGGTAGTTTCAGCGCTCATTGTTAGTAAAAGGCCTTTACAGATTTTATGAGCTGCTACTACATGTGTGTGCAAATGACAGAAAAAACTGAATTAGTGGGTGATGAACCTCACACTTTGCCTTGAACCTAAAATCGTAGTGTTGACTTTTTAAAATCGTGTACCTTAATCAACATATATTTAAATTGTTGATTTTGCACAAGGTTGATAAACAGATTTATTCGGTTAACGTTTCGACGTTTTCATCTTCGTCAGTGCCGTTGATCCGAGTCGGTGGTCCGCAGCTGAAAATTGTTTTGCTATTCGATATCTGGTAGATAGTGTTACACGAACACCCGAACAAGTTAATTTCATTCTTTTCCAGGATTCTGATCGAAACGGAGTTCGTTCTCCAATTACCATTTCGCAATTCCCCAAGCAACAGCAGCAAAGATTTGCTCCACAGAAAAGGCCTTTACCAGCCTCCAGTCTCGACTCTTATCTTGGATCTCCGCCTCAGGTTTTTTAAAAAAAAACAAGTATTTTATAAATAGAATGCAAATATATTTATAAAAACAAAAATATACTTTTAAAGCCGTGTAAATTTAAACCTAGCAGTACTCGTGAAAATTTTCACTGATGGTGTTTGTTTAAGAATTTGCCGGACACTCGTGATCAGAAGGCAACGACATCTCGCCCTTTGGGCAAGAAGTCCAAAATCGATCTGTCAAAGATGCCGGATATCATCGAGAAATTGTATAGTGGCAAGAATAGCTAAGCTAAAATTCTCTGTTTTCCGTTCACTTATTAAGTGGTTCTCTTCAGCACTAGATGGCAAGACTACACTATTTCTTTATGTAATGTTAACCTTCTCGAATTGTATGTACTCACATTCTCGATCTTATATCAGAGAAGGTCAGCGTGGTCCAACCCTCTTCACTTACTTTCCTCACTCTCTTTGCACTCACTGTTCGCTTGAAAATTAGTTTGGTTAGTAAATCTGTGCTATGCCATTGCGGATGCTCTTTTCCTGTTTTATCATAACTGTACGTAGGAACGTTTCTTCAGAAAGTCGTCTTTATTTCATCCGTTAGGTTCTTCTTTGTAATTGGGAACCTTTCATACTCGTTAACACAGTCTATGTAGAAGGGTCACATATAGTTCTGTAAAGACTTTGTTTTCCAGACACATAATCATAAGCGTAATAAGGGGACAAAGTGTTTTAGATTTGCTATATTGTTCTCTTATATTCCTCAGGGAGCAGATACCCATAGATACTAAGTTTATCTTTTCTGAAGCCTATCGCTGTGCATACTTTGTTCCTTTTCTTCCTTATTTCGTGAAAATTTAATTTATATTCCATTATGTCCCCACAATCGTTTCTAAACGTTCGTTACTTGATTCCGACCTTAAACGATCCCTTAATGTCCTTTGACACTACCCTTAAAAACGATGTCCCGTAGCCAATTTTTCGCCTCGCATGTGAATTAAAATCAACCCATGTCGGCGATTTGCTCTGCACGTATGAGTTATACTTTACTTGTGAGCAACAACAGTTTTTATATGGTTGTATCGGCACGCAAGGCAATAATTCGAAACTGGACTCGTGCGGAACGCAGAATTTTCTTCATCTGTTTTATTTTTGTACTCTGCTCACCAGAAACATTGCTGGTTTATGGATGGACAAACTCATCCAGGAAAGGATTTGCATCATGTCTCATCATCTAGATCTATTTTGTATAAATAGTCGTAATATAAAGAATGCAAGGAGAACCTCTTTACGGTTGAATGGCCCTGTCGGGAGTATCGATTCACATTGATTGATTTGGACGAACATGTATGAGTGAGTGAATAGATCGGCGTGTAACGGATTATAACGTGGTCTTGTCTTCGATGCTGCATCATGCTGAGACGTTTTCTTCCACTATGTTGGAGGACAAGGCGATCTCTATGCGACGCTTCAGATCTGTCCACTGTTGAAAGGTACTTGATTAAATTATTCAGTGTTTTCGGTAGAGATCTCTTTGATACACTTATGTAGATGTATTACTTAGTTTCGTTAGACTTTATTACTCGCAAATCTCGTAAATCGATGTATTTCAAGGTACAGTGATCTTTTTACTGAGGCGTTTTCGGCTGCGGAAAGGATACCAGAGCGCTGGAAATGTGTGAAGTCCGTGATCGCCCACGATTTCTTGGTGGTTCATCCTAAGGTAAATTCCATAGTCAACTTCGGCGTTGTTGTTCGCTTTCGAGGGAATAAGTATACACGAGCTGGAAAAATTTCATAGCATATTAGAGTTGGAGTCCATTCTTCCCAAAACTTTTCTCTCGTTTCGCAATTGTTTTAAACGCCTCTGATCTAGAATCGAGCAACCAAGAACTTGTAACGACGGCCTAATTTGACTTTCTAAATGTAGCCAAAGCAGAATCCTACATTGTTTTCACCTAATTAGCCTCGTTGAGGTGCGATGGGGAGCATCGTCTGCCTCGGTTCTCAAGGACCCACAACGACAGCTCAACGAAGCTGTTGCTCTTGTGAATACGTTGCCCGGTTTTCGTGTTGTTCAGTAAGCACTTTATCGTTTTAAAATGAAAAGCGGCTATTCTCTGTTGGTACAAAGCGTATGGCCATTGTTTCATCATCGGATTGGAATTTTTAGAGTTGAATTCCAAGTAGAAATTATTTTCGGTATCTCGTAATGTCTCGTATAGTAAATATCGGAAATCCAACCTACAAAATTTGTCTAATTATTATCATCGAAGATTTGTTTTTAGTTTTCATTTTTCTTGGTCTTCCATCTGTTTAAGTTTGCGAAATTCGAACAAGAATTTCTCTCTTTGACATTATAAGTTTTCATATTAACTATTCGATCTAGCATGTATTAGTTATTGTCTCAGAACTCCTTCTGACGTAAGCCTTTCTCTATTCAGATCGGCTGTTTTGGGTGTGGAGTATAACACAAAACGCAAGACTGTGTGGGGTAGTGGCCAGATCGAAGCGCTGATGACAATAAAGCAACAGTCACGAGTCACCGCTCTTATGGTAAACGTGGACATGCTGTCGCCTCTTCAGCAGGTTAACGATTTTGAACCATTAAGTTATTTATCTTCTCTACTTTCTTTCACTTATCTGTTGATTATACCTGCCAACGGTTTACCGCTTCATCGTGGCTAGTAGATGTTCTTTGGTGTCGGGCTGCAACGTCCTGTGGGAGGATTCATCTCTTCAGTGAGGTCTGTCATGCTGAGAAGGAGTCCGGTGTTTCAATTAGGAAGCCCACCCAAGAGTAAACCAATGCCCGAAGGCACCATCGTTGTGGTATCAAACTGTTCACGTGGTGGTAAATCTCTCTCTGATCCACAAGGGCTGCGACTGCCTGTGGTGGTGACGACCTGGAGCAGATTTTGTCTAGGCTGACCTCGGACCTTCTGGGAGCCACAATGGCTAAACCAGCAGAACTTCCAAGAGTGGAAATTATGCTGGGGCGCGCACAACCCTTGGAGACGGGCCCTCTAAATATCCGTGTAAGTAAGTATCTATTGATTGTAAAGGTGTCGAATTTTTAAACTAACGCTTTGGATATTTCATTATCACTTATCTGGCATTAGGTAACTCGTTGTGGTTTGAAGGGGTCCTGTGTGTTAATGAAACGTATTACACTTCCTTTTTTGGTATGTTCATAGATTACATCCACTGTTGAAACCACCTCTTTAGCACGAACTCTTCGATATTTTCCGCGTTCCGGTATATGACCGATACAATATAGTTCTCTCGATATTCAAACACTATGCGTATACTCTTGAAGCACACCTTCAGATTCAACTTGCAGAAATTCCATACATCCGGTAGGCGTAATTCCATTTGATTCCATAAGATTTGATCCCTACTAGGATTGCTGCCGTGTTTTCCTTGAAAAGCGATTCGTTATACCTTTTAATTATTTTCTATTTATCAGGTTTCTCTAAGCTTTGCCATTGTATATATATATATATATATTCGTTATTTATGTCCAAAAGTTAACATCGTGATTCCAACTATAGCTCAGTAGCTCCTCAGTAGCTGATAGGCGAAGCGAACGACTAGCATGGTGTGGTGGTGAACACGTTAGTCCCCGGAAAGGGTAATAGCGCGTTCGTCCCTCACCGCAGACACCGCGGTACGGAATTTTACAAACATCTCAGCATCATTGTTATGAAATTTTTATTCAAGGAACCGTCTGCATTATCTCAATAAATATCGTTTTAATCCTTCCGAGTTACATGTTGTACGGCACCCAGAGCATGCCAAGTAAGTTTCTCGTTGTTTTTCTCAATTTTAGAATGTCTTCCAATCATTCTGCTGGTAAACTAGATTAGTGACTTTTTCATGTGCACTGGTAATAAATTATTTGATGTCTTTACACTGTCTAGTGTAGACGAGTTCGAGGTATTGCGATTGCGAGAACAGAGTCTACGCAAAAAATTGAGACATCTGGTCGAAAAGAATGTGGAAAGGGCTAGAGAAGAAACCCAAGGAGCAGCAATGGTTGCTGTTGTAGGGTGATCATTTACTTTTTTCACTTACCTATAGTCGTACATTATTGTATTGAACATATTGCATTATAGATAAGATAGTGTAACCAAGCATACCTGAAGTTCAAAGCGAAATGTTTCTGCTTCAGTAGGTTTCCATGAAAGATCAGGCAGTTTCCAACAGTGGGAACACAACATACATTGTTCCTTACAAGAGTGTTTTATTACTTGGACATTTGATCTGTCTAACTGGTTTTCTGAGAGTGCGTCTAACGCAGTGGTCAGAACCACCTGCAATACACATGCAATTCGATCCACTTACGTCAGGCCCACCAAGCCCTCCAATCCCTCCGGAGTCGGCAAATTGACACCATACTTCTCTGGGAAGGTGGCAGCACTGGTACATCGATAGGCCACCGCCAGTCATTGTAAAGGCCAGATATGTATTCTATCACCTCCAGCGATGCTAAATGAATTCGAATGCAGGCACATCCCTCGGAGATAGATTAGCACCAAAAACTCTATTCTTTATACTTTTTAGCTTCTCTTTTAATCAAAGTTTTAATTTTAAAACACGTACTATTTCGGCATTTTTTTTTCTCTCTTCTTTACATTCCGAAACCACTTAAACGTGCCAGTTCTGTTTAAGTCTTCACCGAGTAGAAAGCTACAAATGTCGGTTAAAGCAAATTTAATCTTTTACGTTTCGAGGTATACGAATGCGGGAAAAACTAGTCTTGTAAAATGTCTCACTGGTGCCGTTGGCTTACTGCCTGAGGATCGTCTTTTCGCAACCCTCGACACCACGAGGCATGCAGCGAGGTTATACAATTTTTATTTCGTTCTCTTATTTCGTGGCTCTTATATTTTGAATGTTGCGCGTATTGATTTTTTATATCCATGGATTTCCCTCCAAACGATTTACTGCCTCATCATAACTTGAATATATCAGGAGCCAGCTAAGGGTAAATCAATACCATAATCTCCCACCGTTCTGGTATCAAACTAGTCGCACGGTAACAAATCTACCTTTGACCCTATGCTGGTGACGACCTGGAACAGATTTTGGCTACGCTGACTTCGGGACTTTAGGAAATCACTACAGCTGAACCAGCAAAACTCCGCAAAAGTGGAACTTATGCTGGGACCCGCACAACCAGTGAAGACGGGTCATTCAAGTATCCAGATATCTACAAATATCTCCTTTCTTTTAGATTTTGATGATGGTTGATCTCAAACAGGTTGGAAACACGTGGGCCATCTTTTTTTCTCTTTTAGTTTTCTATAAACTAAATGCTCCTAGCATAATAATAGTGAGTGAATGTGACTTATTATTCAAAATGCTTTAGGCTTCCATCGGGTCGTAAGGTCGTCTTTGCTGACACTATCGGCTTTTTGAGCGAGCTGCCAATGCATCTGCTGGCAGCATTCCATGCAACACTATCCCATGTGAAACTAGCAGTATGTTTGACCTTAGTATGGCTGTTTAGTAAATAACTTTTAGTTTTCTTAGGATGTTATAATTCACATTCGTGATCTGTCGAATCCGGACTGGCCAGCTCAAAGCGAGGACGTCTACAAAACCCTTGAAGCTATCGGCTTGCCACATGATCGTATCAACGACATAATCGTGGCCGATAACAAAGTAAGTGCAAAAGTCTGCATAAGTACAATAACAGATAACGCAGTCAAATACTCGCTTTCCTCGTTGAGCATAAAAGCAATTTTAGTGTTTTTTTCGTTTTTGGGTCGACGTGTATGGGACCCCGATTACTTCAAATTCCGATGCTATAAAGATATCATGCCGGACCTCCGAAGGTGTGGAAAAACTTATACAACGGATCGATAGAGTAAGTTTGAAAATTTTACGTCATTTCGACAGTTTTCCCTTTCTTTTTGCGATGTATGGGAATTTGATTGCGTCTTTCTTTTTCACTATTTAATTTTGATGATTGCATGGGAAATACATTGATTATAGATGTTGTCGTTACACTCCAAGCCAAGCATACCTCCCATGCATCTGCTATCGGGAATTCGCACCACATTTTCCTTGGAAAAGTTTCTTTCGTTCTAGAAAACCGGGCGACTTTCTGGGGTGAAGTATTGGGAAGCCTTTGTCACAGCTATCCTGGAAGGCTGTGATATAAATCACAATGTCGCCACTTTTTATTTACTGCTTATTTTTTTAATGCAGAGTAGTATGTGAAATATAACCATAATGCTGCTGAAACATTTGCAAAACGGACCAATTGTGTATGTGGTGGGGTTTGAACTAGTTGTTATCCTTTTCGGGGGTTAAGGCGTTCTCCACCACACCACACCATGCGAGTGCTTTGTTTCGTTTTTCTCTCAGCCTTGTTATTTCACATAATGTACCGCAGTTAAAACTTAAATGGGTTCAATGCCGGTTTATACTCCTCAGATCAACCTCGTTGATGGGTGATTGCTGATAGCAATCATTAATAACACGACTAAGAGAAAGACGAAGCGAATGACTCGCATGGTGTGGCGGTTAACACGTTTGCTCTCGCGGAGGATAATAGCGTGTTCGGTCTCTACGGCGGAGACCAGCAGTCCGGATAAAAAGGATATACCTCTCGGCATTGATCAATCTCTGAGGGGAAGCGTCATGAATTCGACTTCATTAAGCATCATTAGAGGTGATTGAATTCGTAGCTGGCCTCTACCATGAATCGCTGTGGCCTATCGATGTATCGAGTTCTGTGTTATCCTCCTGGACAAGTCTGGTCTCAATTTGCCTACCCCGGATGCAGGGCGACTTCGACCACTGCGCTACACACGCCCCACAAGCGGTTTAGAGTTTTGCAAATGTCTCGTCGTCATTAGGGTTATCCCAGGAGAATTCAATTGACTATCATGAAAAGGTATTTATGACGATTGTTTAAGTGGCAACCAGGTCCATTCCTACATCTGAAGATCTTTGTGGTTTACTGATGCAAAATAGTCTACCGAGTAGAAGTGATGGTGTCCACACAACGTGTGAAGTAAGGAATTGTGGAAAAATTGAAATAATTGAATATGACAAATAATTTAGGCGAAAAAGGTTGACGATGAACTTCTAAAAGCTCGAAGTGAAGACAGTGACCTGTAAGAGCCCAAATTCAGCAGTGTTTCCGTATTGACTAATTTAGGCAGCACTGCAGGAAGAAAAATGACCTTCATTTCCTCTTCGTATGAGGATCTGTTTATTCTATTTACAGGTGGTATTACGTGTTACTGGTTGCAAACGACGAAGGCTTCAACTTAAGTTCTCATCTCCTGCTGTCGCCTACTTATATAAGTGTGTTAAATTTTGTTTAATTTCACTCTAAATATAGTATAACCATCCAATGTCAACCGGATCAATTATGTAGTCTAAATTATTGGTAAATACAGTTTTCGAATACGGTGGAATGCTTTTCCTTGTGGCGATTGTAGCGCAGTTATAGAAGGCGTCCTGCAATACACATGGGATCGATCCCCGCGTCCAAGCCCCACGAAGCCATCCATCCCTCCGGGTTCCGTAAATTGGTACGAGGCTTGTCTGGGAGGATAACAGCACTGGCTCTATACATCGGTAGACCACCACGAGTCATTGTAAAAGCTAGATATGCACTCAATCACCTCCAACAGTGCTTGATGAAGTTGTATTCATGGCGCATTCCTCAGGGATAGATCAGCGTCGAGACCTTTATCCTCTATCCTTTTATGTGAATCTCTGGTAATTGCGTACATTTCATGAACGTGCACTAAGTTGCGGTATTTTAGAGAAGGTTTCGTAGCATCTCAACCAACTCACACTGACTCGCATCTCATATTTGATGTGTTCATGAACGACGCGGAGTTTTCTAGATTTCAAAAATTGTTTAGTGGATTGCGGAGGAAAGCTTAATGCTTGCTTGTGGTGATGTATTGTGATTTTTAGTTCATGAGCGCTCATTAGAGTGTGTTCACAAGTTGTTGTAGCATTCGGACTCCTTCATAGATTATCCAAGAACTAGTAACTCTTGAATAGAACCTCTTCTCTATTATCTCAGTCGTTCCCTTCTTTTTCTCTGGTTCTATTAACATATTACACCCGACGACTTAGGTCCTTTTCGATAAGTGACGGTGATTTCTCGATCACTAAAGTGTTGGCAAATCCATAAAATTTCTGAGAGGACTTTCCGTTATCGTCTCTGGATATGTATACATCGATAAATGTTCATTTCGTTACCATTCGGATATATTGTCACTAACAGATTTTGTTCTGATAAGACCTTCTGTGACTTTGTTTATCTGAGGTCATAAGACGAATACAAGTTAATGCGGGTGTTTTTACAATGAAAGTGTGTAAGTGAAGATTTCGCAAGTTGACTTAGCAGTTTGTTTAAGCCTCGTGAGTTGTGCTTATTTTGTTCATTTTCACAGTGATCCTAACTGCTTGTCCACGTTTGAGAAGAATACCGAGAATCTGTTATCTGATTGTCGTTCATCATGGTAAAGTGTTTCTGTAATTTTTCTCCGTCTTTCTTACTTTGTAGAGCGCTATTTTAGCCTATCCTATCTCTCGATATGAAGTGCAATATGGTGGGCGTAACGAATTTAGCTCCCAGCGATCCTGAAGGCCATCGATGGTATTTGAAGGTATCTCTTCTTTTTTCACTTACTTCAAAGCACTGAAGTGATCATTTCAGTAGGTTTTTCTTGTTTCTTTTCATTTATTTATCTTTTTGGTCCTATTGTAAGGCTTAAAATTCGTTATCTGAAGCATGAACAGAACTACAAACTAAGTGTTTCTAGTTCCTTGCCACTCTATCCTCCTAGTGATTCTTTCACCTTACTGTTAACGAATTGTTCCCAACTATTGACTTCACCTAAAGTGCTAAAATCGCTATTATTAAAAACCCTTAACACCTCCGTTTCATCTATTTTGCAGTTTACCGCTCTTCAGCTCCATCTTTCCTATCCTGAATGCTACCGTTCTTCGTGATTTTGAAGCAGTTTCAAAGTCATTTTTATTTATGGTTTCTTGTATATAATCGAGTACATGGAGTGGGCATCGGTGAAACCTCCATTCGTCCTTATCCTGCCACTCCAGAACTTTTCAATGAGGCTTCGCTTGTTCAGAAGGCGTGTGGAAGCGTCATACACTTTTTACATGATCCTTTACAACGTGCGTTGATGGTTTGATCCCGCGTCCTCGGCTCACCCTTCCATCTTTGCGAGATCGGCTAATTGCTCCCATACCTGTATGAGAGAATAGCTGCACTGGAGTGGCACATCGGTAGACCACCGCAAGTCATTGTATGAGTCAGATATGCGTTCAATCACCTGTAACGATGTTTGATGAAGTTGGATGCATGGCGTATGCATGAAGCATTGACAGATTGATCAACGCCGAGCGCTTTATCTTTTTTATCCTCGAGATAACATAGCCATTTGTCCAGGCATTGCCTTGGCGGCAGTTTACACTAGCCATGTCACATATCACCACTTCTATCAGGTAATTAACCGCAATGTGTTCATTGTATTGACCGATACAGCAATCTATGTTAGTTAGTCCAATACAGAAAGTTCGCCTGCCGTTTACCACATGGGACTTTTGTGATCGCCATGGAGTAAACTTTAAGCTTGTGTAATTTAGTTTTTGTATAAGCAATAGACTAATAGAACAAAAAGGGTATAACGAAATTAATTAATATAGGCTCACGCATGAACCTTTTGATAACGCGTTCGATAACGCTGAGTGGTCACACGTCCTGCCTGTGTAGTGTCCATATTTCCGAGTCGTAGGTTAAAGTGAATACAATTGCAGGGATGGAAAGGTGAAGTGGAGATGGTTTCTCCTGTTCACCATATCCTGGATGCTCTTGTAAGCACTAAAAGCCATTCTTTTTCTCCAACTTTGCACTGGAGCTAAATCGTTCCTGATGCAGCCGCAATTGGAACACCATTTCTATTACATTTCTAGAAAAGGTTCAAACCGCCTTCGGATACATGCTTTTCCACTTTTTCTTAGATAGTCAAGTGCTTATCAAGCTGTACATTCCAGCAGAGAATAAGCCATCTTAATCGCTTATGGAAGGTCTCTGGCTACTACTTCTACTTACTACTATCCCTCTTCTGTTCGACAAAGGAAGGCGAGAAAATACAAGATGTTCAGTGACTGTCAAACGATCACAATAGAAAACTGATGTCACACAGTCGATGATGTCCTGTTAAAACTACTGGGTGTTTATCCAAATATGGCTAGCAGAGGAAGTTGAGTCATCTTACACAACAACCCTCAAGCAATTGCACAACTAACACTGTAAAATTTTAATGGGTTGCGCTACGAAACCTTGTTCACTTCACTAATTGTGCTCATCGAACTGCCCAGTAATAACCTTTTTCTGGTATTTATATATACATATATGCATACATGTATATGTGTATATACGTACATATGTATACACATAATGTATATACATGTGTATATACATGTATATATATTACACATACTGACGCAGTTCCTAAGCGAAATACAACTACAACGTTACTGAGATATGTGCAAAACTCTGGACCGCAGGTGTCTATAGTGGGGAACGAAGGCTATATTGTCCTTTCCGGGTAGTAACGCGTCCACCACCACACCATGCGGGTCCTTCGTTTCGCCTGTCTCTCAGCTATTTCTATCGACCTTTTTGCCACAGCAATCACCCGTCAGCGGGTATAGCGCGTTCGTTCCCCACCACAGACACCTGCGGTGCAGAGTTTTGCAAATATCTCAGCAGCGTTGTAATTGTATTTCGCTTAGTACCGTGCCGCAAAATTATAGTAGGCAAAAAATAAAAAGGTATAACGCAGTCCATAAGGTTGCAAGGTGTT